GGGGCACTAACCCAGGGTTGGGGTTAGGACCGGTATTAGGGTTAGGGGTGGGTTAAGGGGTAGAGCGAGGGTTTAGTGCTCGGGTTAGGTTTAGGGTTAGGTTTAGAGCTGGGGTTAGGGTTTGGGTTAGGTTTAAGGCTGGGTTTAGTGTTAGGGTTGGGGTTTGGGTTAGGTTTAGGGTTAGGTTTAGAGCTGGGGTTAGGGTTTGGGTTAGGTTTAAGGCTGGGTTTAGTGCTAGGGTTAGGGTTTGGGTTAGGTTTAAGGTTGGGTTAGGTTTAAGGTTGGGTTAGTGCTAGGTTTAGAGCTAGGATTAGGGTTTGAGTTAGGTTTAAGGTTGGATTTAGCGTTAGAGTTAGGTTTAGAGCAAGGGTTAGAGTTTGGGTTAGGTTTAAGGTTGGGTTTAGTGTTAGAGTTGGGTTTAGAGCTAGGGTTAGGGTTTGTGTTTGGTTTAAGGTTGGGGTTTGGGTTAGGCTTAGGGCTAACATTGGGGTTTGGGTTAGTTTTTTTTTGTTTGGGTTAAGATTTGGGTTAGGTTTAATGTTAGGTTTGGAGCTAGGGTTAGGGGTTAGAGTTAGGGTTTGGGTTAGGGGTTAGATTAGGATTAGGTTTCAGATTAGGGTGTAGGGTTGGGTTTAGGGCTAACATTGGGCTTAGGGTTAGATTTTTTGTTTGGGTTAAGATTTGGTTAGGTTTAAAGTTAAGGTTAGCTTTAGAGCTAGGATTAGGATTTGAGTTAGGGTTGGGGTTAGAGTTAAGTTTAGGGTTAGGCTGGGCTCCAGCAGATCACCCCCCCAGCAGGACTGAGCCTTTCTGTCTCTCGCAAAGGCCGTGGCCGCCCCCTGCGCTGCACTGGCAGCTCCCCAGGTCCCCGTCCCTGTCCTGGGTGTCCCCCCTCCCATGGCTCCCCCTGCCAGGCCCCGCCTTGCTCCCCAAAAATCGCCTCCGAGCGTGGTCTGGGGCAGCCAGGGTGGTCAACGGTGGGGAAGGTGGAAAGGGTGGAGGTCCACCAGGATGGAGGTGCGTGAAGTCAAGGAGCCAACGTGCGGACGATGGATGGGGGTCGTCCACGGGGAGGGAAACCAGGAGCCGCGTGTTCGTGCCGACGTGGGGAAGGGTTTCTCCTCACAGGTTCCTCTGGGGTTAAGCCAGACGTGTCTGGAGGCTCAGCCCAGCTCCTCCACCTCCCTCTTAGTGCAGAGGTCATCTCCATCCTGGAGGTGTGGGCAGATGGGGGGGTGGGCGGGGATTGCAGAGAAATCTCGTCATCTCTGCCGGAGCTGGCGCTGCGGCGATGGAGACGCTTTCCAAGAGCCGCATGCTGGGACGGAGCTGGTTTTGCAGGTCCCAGGGTGATGGACTGAGCTAAGACAACCTTTGAGAAGCTCACAGGATGTCCTACACTTAGTAGAGCACCAGACAACTAAGTCCAGTCCCAGAGAGCTTGATCAGAAGCTCTGGCTGATGCTGGAGATGTCTGTGATGAGGCCACCGGGCTCGTCCGGTGCACCAGATCTGCTTTTGAGCTGGTCGCCCAGGCTCTCTGGGTAGTCACCAAGGGGTAGGTTGGAGCATGAGACCCTACAAGTGGCCACCTGTATCTTGGAGATGATTTGTGCCCCGCGCTCCTTGGCCCAGGTCTTCTCCAGCTCTCTGAAGATCTGAGGAACCAGCTCAGATGGAGATACCTCCACAGAGGACTTCTGGAGTTAGAGATGAGTCCCCATGTTACACCCTGAGAAGGAAACACAAGAGGCCGCGGGTTTCCACTGGAGACCGAGGTGGCCCAGCCAACCCCCTCCTGGTTTTGGGTGCATTATTGCATTTTTCCAAATTAACCTTAAAATTATCTCAGAGCCACACAGAGGTCCCATGCCACCCCAGGAGACCCTCTGAGCTGCGTGCTCTGCGCGATGAGGCCTTGGGCTGACGGCAAGAGGTGGGAGATGACACCTCCTGGCTGGTCCTGGAGGAGAGCTGCTTGTCCCATGGTGCGCATGGAAGGTGACGTCGTGCCAGGAGCTGCACGCACACAAGCTCCCCTTTCCACTCTTCGCACAAAACTCTCGATTGTTCAACCTAAAAGGTCTCAACCCTTGAGATCTTAAAGAAAACCATGGCAGTCCTGCCTGCTGGAGCTGCAGCAGCACTTCTCGGGTGACAGTGTCACCACCGGACCCTGCGCAGATGTTTGATTCTCTTTACGGCGAGTAGACGTGCTGCTCTGGAGAAGGACCAGGATTCCCACTGGTGTGACCTCACGTGGGATGCGTCACCTCCAGAGACACGATGGAGAGCGCCGTGTCTCCACCTCCCCGCAGGCTGGTTCTTCAAGCTGCAGTGCCAGGCTGAGCTCCCGCGCGTCCCTACGCTTCTGCACCAAGGAAACATGAGATCTGCAGCCCCCGCTGCCATGTGGGACCTCTGGAAGAGGCATCATCTGACCTTGGATGATGACGTTCAACCCAGTGTCTCCACCCACCTCCGTGCCTACAAGCTATTTAAGTCCAGGCCGCGTTGGTGGCTGGACACCGAGGGAAAAGGCAGACGGGATCATCACGGGGCTGTTGCCTTTGAGCGAGTGCTCATCACCTCATTGTTGCCATCGGGTTGGGTGGCCAAGTCCTGCTGTTTCCTCCAGAAGCCTGGGGGCTGACAGCAGCAACAGGAAAAAAACAGTTTTAAAGGTATTAAGGAATTCCTACAGTTCCAAGACCATCAAACTGCATCTCCTCTAATTTCCAACATCCCTGATGCCTAGAGAGATCCTTCAGGCTGGACCTCCTGGAGCATGAGGACCTCTGGAGCAGCGTGAGCCAACCCCTCTGAAGGTGAGTGATTGGACAAGTTCCTGTGAGAAATGCCCGTTTCTCACAGAGAAATGGTGAGCATCCAGAGTTAGGTGAGACATCCCCTTAAGATGTAGCTTGGTTGACTGTCCTGGAGTCTGGTGAGACTGCTGACCGTG